AAACTGAAAGCATTAATTAATTCCTCAAAGTCAACATTTTCGATGCAAGAACGAAACAGTGCTTCTTTAATTCATCGTGATGAGATTATTCACTCCTATTGGACTGAACAGAAAAATTGTTACGTGCTTGTCAAGTGGCGCGAGATTCTTGTTTGCGCAAAAGATGCGCGACGAGTGTGAATACGGAAGAATAAGAAAAGAGAGGCGAAACGGAATTACATATATACCATCGCGTCTCGCGTAACATTATGCAATCTTTCGACAGCGTTGCGGAGAGACGTTATTTCCTCGTGCCAAGGTCGAGGGTGCGCATGCCCGTCGAATCTTCTTCAAGATCATACGCCGATTCTCGCATTTTTTTTCATATTTCCGCCGAAACAACAATTTAAACACACAGATGAAAAGCCAAGCTCGATATTAAGCTTATACTTATCGCCGTTACGCTTTAAAGGTGTTGGATCAAAGAATCAATATAAAATAATCCTGTCTCCTTATTTTAATTAAATATTTATTTATTAATTTGTAACTATATATTATTACGTATATCATAATATGATATTAATATGTTTCTCAACAATAATATGTTTATTATCGTTTCATCGATAAAGAGTAATATTTCGAGAAACATATACTGTCATCTTGAATTTAAACTTTTTTGTTTGTGATTGATACGGTGTTCGCTGCGCTGGAATCCATAGCAAAGCTGCGCAATATGGTACGAGCGCAGTAATAAGCGAAGTTATTGCGCGCGCGGTTTACGTGAAGAATCCAATCCAAGGATCAAAGCTCAAAAGACGACAATGACGCGTGACACAGTTTTTAAACGCGACCGAGCCGCGACTGATCGTCGTAATTGATGCACGCGATGTGATCTAAACCGGGAATACGTGAGAACCAGTTCAGATCCAGTTCCCCTCTCGCTGCACCGGCTGATAGTCGCATCGATCGACCACCAAGGCCGCGTCTTATTCGGGCAAGGCCAAGGTCGTTGGCTGGCATTGCCAGCTGAGGTGAGATTGCAATTTCTCGCGCAGAATTGCGCCAGAATTGCAAAAAGCTACGTTTGGTTAACGTTTTACGTAATTAGCAGGTAAGGTATAGCTCAAGTAAAAAGGAATTAAGATTCAATTCGTAGAAGTTTATTTCGCCAAATTTGCGCGGTAGACATATAATTTATTATTTTTTATCTGTCCAACGCATCGAGAGATTAATAGCTTTTTCCCAGTTTTATTAAATAATAATAAATGTGACTTTATATTTATTTTTGTATAATTCAGATAACAATAATTTTTGGAATTTTGTCAATAAGTTTTTATCTTATAATTAATGTCTTATAATTACATTTGTAAGAATATTTTAGAATATAGTTTCCATTACGCAGTTTTTTTCGATCCGGATAGTAATCTTGTACATATATCATAATCCATGTGACGAAATGTTGCGACATGCCACATTGACCTCTTCCACTAAGCTTGTTTCCGAAACGCTGACCTTGCCATAAGACGAGTCAAGGATAGAAGTATGCGTGCCTTGTCTTTTATCGGCCGTTTCCGGGGTCTATTCTAACCCAAACTTGACTTCGTATCACTGATATAAATTTCCGGTTTTATTGAACTGACAAACAAGCAAAGACTTACGCCTCACATCAGTATTGAACATGCTTCTTCATATTACATCAACAAGTGGCGACAGAGATATAAGAATATGAAAATAAATAATCCAAACATTACGTAATATATTTTTCACCTTGTTATATTTTCTGCATGGCACTAAGCTGATAATTTTGAATTTGTATAAGCAAGCATCGTAGAAACGCGACGTAGAATAGTTTCTAAAACAATGTATACAATTTTGTGTACCTCCCGCTTGGCAATAAGTCAATAATTTATATGGTTGTCTCTGTTCAATTTACTATGAAATCTTCGTATACCGAAATATTTTAGTCTAATTTCTCGTAATTTCTGTTGGCACTCTAATATAGACTCTGACCTTCTACTACATATCATGTAAACGCGAAATCTGTTTGTAGATAATTTTTCAATATCTAGTAACCAGATCATTTTTCATAAAATATTACGTATTACGTAATTTCGTGTCTGCTTAGTAATCAATAAAGTATCAAAAGAAACATATTACATGAATAAAAACACCACATAGTAAATGTTGGAACAAATTAAATTTCAAACAAAAAAATTATCCCGATGAAAATTTTTCTCAAAATTTTTCATATAATTTTTTAGAATTTCTCTATAATTTTAACTTCCTCACATTTTTTATACGAATTGGAACATTTCTCAGAAAATCTACATCTTTTCTCAGAATGTTTCATATATATTAATTATAAAAAAAAAATCGTAAGATTTTTAAGATTTTTTGTAAGTATAATTTCTGATCTGAATTCTGAAATGTTACAAAATCTAAAAAATTTAAAAATACTTTTTAAAAATTATGGGATGAGAAATTTCAGAATATTTCAGAATTCACTTATATGAGAAGTTCTGAGAGAAGATAAACTTTCCGAATATTCCTGAATATTTCTGAAAAATGTTCCAATTCGTATAAAAATTATGAGACAAATTTTCACTAGAGTAGAATCAATTAAGACACAATAATATCAACATATACATACATAATAAAATGAAAATGCAGAATTTTTAAAAATTGCGAGATTTAGGTCAGTGTTATTACTCTTTATTCAGAAAGCCTTAAAGATACATAATGCTAATGAAAGACTCATCTGAAAAATTCTGAAAGGCTCGCAGTAGGGTATATCGCTCCTACCTTGGTTTATTAACGACGGTTAAAAGGGTCGAGACAAGACATCTCATCCTTTGTTTCGCTACCGTGTTGCGTGACCCTGAAAATCCACGAGACCGCGACGTAGGGTCAAACGACGTGCGCGTGGTCGCACACATTTGGTGCGATGTATCATTCACGTCGTGATATAGAAATGCCTTCTCTGGCAGTTAGTAATAGTAGTAGTAGTAGTAGCAGTGACAAGAGGCAGCGATGATGACGATGGATGGGGAGAGGGGATCATGACTAGTAGTAGTCGATATATATCTATACAACGTGTCCGCTCCGGCCGCCCGTGACCATGTGGCCTTGTCCTTGTACGACGTCGCATCGAACAGCAACTACGTGCCACCGACACTCGTCGGCTTCGCCGCGCGCCGGTGGAACCTTCCTACAACGAGTGTGAGGAAAGGAGGAGAGGAGGCGCGAATAGAGCGTGTGCACACATACGATGTGCATACATACACATTACAATAAAATAACGATGAGTCGAAGCGCCGTTTTAAACAAATTTGCACAGGTGACTAATGCGGAAAAACTAATTTTTTCCACATTAATGTCTCTACGATAAAGGCAGTGGAAAATCCTGCATGTTGATTTCATGCCGGATACATATCGCTGTCATTGAGAGATATACAGTCTTTGATCTTTAATCTATGAGGGAAGAAGGGGATCGTGTTATAAATTTATCTGTAACGTCATCTGTAATGTTTGTTACGCAGACTCTACATGTTAATGTTTTACACAGGTTTACTTAGTACCAAGTCTTGTCCGCTGTAAGAGAATTTTAGTATTATATATGTGTGCATTGTTTTTTTTATATCTTAATATTTTTAATTTTTCAATTTCTTTGTTAAAATAAAATTTTCGTCAAAATAAAATTTTCAATAAAATAAAGTTTATATTTGGTGTTAAATGTCAAGGCTATAATTTCTTTTAATAAAAAAGTCTTCTGTGCGATATCTAATGTCATAATAATTATATACAGCTTTATCATGTTAGTAATCGATATGTATACTCGCTGCTGAATTACATTGAATGTATTATGCACTTCTGAACAGGTGCCTATCTGAGCAGAAGTCGGAATTTTCGTCTGATTGCGTTTCGCTAGCACAAGGAAGGTTATCTTGTCGTGTGTTCATCGTTATCTGATGATAATGCGCTGAGTGACTCAGCGAGATGAGTTCAAGTACAGATTCGAGTGATCTTTACCTCGAGCGACGCAATTGACACTTTCGTAATATTAGCGAATAAATATCGCGAAGAATCTTATTTTAATCTAGCAAATTAATCGCTTTTTATATCTCCGTATATAGTTATTATTCGATCATTTATAAATTATTTTTATTTATGAACTAGCTTTTTTTTCTGAAAGATTCAAATGCACAGCATCGATTACATAATGTTATTTTCTAATAATTTTACAAATGCGATTATGAGAAAAGATTATGTAAGAATATGTATACATGGCTTTGTATAACAAAATTGTAAAATTAATTTTTAAATGATTTTTTTAATTGAATGATTAGACAAAATATATTATGACAGAATTAAAATTTAAATATTTGAACATTATATTATTTTCCATAGATATTATAAAGTAGTTTCGAAATTCATGAAGTATAATCGGAATCAGAGAGAATATATAGAAAGACCGATTCGAGTCTTAAATAAACTTCGTACAGTGTCTTGCATAATGCTGTTTGTGACGAAACTTTGCCAAACAAGGTTTGTAATAATAATGAAACTGAATGTTTCATTATAAACCATCTCCAATTGTTCCATTTCTGATATCACTGACTATTATATATATTGTATTTTAGTTTTCCATTTTATTTTTTTAATGAATCTTGAAGGATTTATTTCATGTTTTAAATGAATTTTCTGTTTTACCTTATTTTACTCTTCTCTGTAAGTCGAAAACTCTTCAGAGTCGAGATTGTTGAATTTTATTTAACTTTTCAAAGAACGAGATGGCCATACAGTCAGAGGATCGCATATAGATATTATGTCAGCATTATGTATAGATACTAGCCGGCTTATGTTCGATCTTTTTGACCAGAAATCACGTCGAAGGTCGAGAGCGGCCGAATACGTCGTACAAACGCTTTAAAACAGTCCAACATCTTTGGTCTACGTCCTTGCGACAGTTTTAGTTTTCGGGGAGATCGACTCACTGTTGCGAGGGAGGCGTGGTTACGTGTTGCGGCTAGTTTACACTAATCTTACACATAACTAGTGTAAGGTTACTCTCTGCAAGTTAGCTGTCGTGTGTGAGCCTACATAGTCGCTTAAAATTAGAGACATATCAAGTAGGAAGCAAATTGTGAGGCAACCTGGGTGGCGAGATAACCCAATGAAAATCGCTTCTATTTTCGGATGTACTTGCCTTCTACAATAATTGCGCGATTTAAACAACGGTAATCTAAATAATCATATTAAATAATTTGCAAAAGTCTTGATGAAATTTGATCTTTACTTAAAAAAAAAAAAAAACAACTTGCTGTCCTTTTTTTTTCATTAATCTTGTCGATTAGAAGTAACATAGCAGTCGTTTAAGAAGTATCATAGCAGAATTTGGCACATCTAAGAGCCTGTACATCAACGTACTTCGGAATTCTGGTTGACAGTTTGTTCTTGTTGACGATCTCACGACGGCGGCGGCGGCGGCGGCGGCGGCGGCAGTGTCACAAGGACGACGGCGCACACATCAATGTTGTATCGTCACGCATGTGCGCAGCATGTTACTAGTGTTGCTACGTGCACGCGTATATATCTCCGCCTCGCGGATTTGTCGCAATGTCTCGTGTCGTTTGGAGGCAGAGCCGGAGCGAACATGGCGAGACGTGTGGCGAGGCAAAGAGCAGAGCGGAGCGGAGCGGAGCGGAGCGACGCGGCGCGGCGCGACCTTGTCCTTGAGCATAATCTTTCCTCGTTATCGGACGGCCGTCGAGGCTGCGGTCGCATCGGACCGACTGCGAGCGATTAGTGCAACTCCCGACCGTGCGTCAGCCTTCTTTTTATTTGTGAATAATAATGCACCCGGTATCGCAGCGTACGATGATCGGGAGCACGATGATGATATACATATAAATTTTTGCATTAATTGTGAGAAAACGTGTTTGGACTTCTATTGTTTGCGATCGGTACACTTTTCATTATACACTTAAACCTAACTTAAACCTTTTAATCAATGTAAATTGACTTTTATTCCGATTTAATTTACTTCCGTCATCTTTTTCTAATTTTTAGAATTAGAAAAAAAGTAAAAAGGTACAAGTTAAATGGTTGAAGTCGATCTATATTGATTGAGAAAAAAAAATGGACCTTACTCCAAAATCGGTTTTGTGTTTCATTTACATTGAGGTAATAATTGAAAAGGAGTATATAATCTCTCGCGTTTGAATTTTCATTGCAAATATTATTGGCTTCGCACATAAGAACTATTCCAGGTCTAGGCCTGTTTTTCCTGAGGACTGTTTTCCTGAGAAGAAAGATAATCCGAGTACCTCAAGCCATGACTGTCACGAGTCATCTTGAACGAGCGCTATTGGTTATCAGTGATACCCCCCAGGTTCTAGGAAGCAAAGTCGCTATCGCTGACCTTGCTAGCGAAATACTTAACGCAGCGGCACGTGTGCGACGACGTAGAAGCTGACGAAGCAGAAGAGACCCGTGGATAACGAACGAGGACGCGTGAAAGAAAAGGAGCCTGCAGTGGCGCGATGTTTAATTAAGACATTATCTATTTTGATATATACTATAGGCAACACGCAGCATGTTTAGATCATTGTAACCATTATAGATTAGAGAATATCATCGATATTGCTAGAATAATAATAGATGTAAAAATATATTTTTTTATCTCGCTTGTTTATCTTATCATATACGTGAATGTCATTACTTATTTATTACCTGAGCGTAAAATTCAAATAATGTGGGAGTAAATTGAATAAACGTATGAAGTCCAAGGTAAGAGGAAAGTGGAAGAGGAAGAATAAAGAGGGACAAAGGGGATTCCGACACGCGCAATCTAGCGTTTCCGAATATGAATACGCTCGGCTATATTATTAGCTGGATCGTTGGAAATACGCGCGCGCAAGGTCAGCTTTCGCGTCTCATTTCCTTTACCTCTCTACGTGAGACCGTTGTTTCATCCACCCCCTAATCATAAAGATGAATCTACCGTAAGCATGTTTTTTTCATAGGCATTGACGAACAATCGCGCTTGTTTTTTTTCGTGCACGTGTCTTGTCCACGTGTCTGTCACTAAAAAAATAACTACTCATTGTTCAGAAATATTTCTTGAAAAACGACGCAATGTTCGCTTAATTATTAGAAAAGGATAATTTTGCACTCATGTACGTTATTTATGGCTATGGCGAAAATTTAAGCAGTAAGACGTAAGCAGATTAGCATTTTAGATTTGCTTACGTCATTGCCTTATATTTTCTACTATAATTTTTGACGATTTCTTTACTATCTTACGTTTTTCTACGATAAAGTCATCGATTTTTATCCTATCGAAATGATAATCATAGCTATTTAGAGTAAATATTTCGGAGGCCTTGACGCTCCCAACTGGTTTACGTGGCGTGACTTCCGGCGCGCTTTCACAAATGACTCGTCTCTCGAAGGGACGTTTTCGTTGCCTCACCTCGAAGCGTTTGGTCAATAGTATTTAACATGATGACTCACTTATACCCTCGCAACTTTGTAGATTTACAAAGCATAGCTCCTGCCATAAAAATGACATTAAGTGATTACTACTAAAAATAACTACGCCCAATATGACTTACTTGCTATTTATAGATAGTTACGCATGAATAGTTAAATCTTTACTGTCATCACATCCATGTGAATATCGAAAATATCTATTGAATATGTTATATTTTCAATTAATATTCAGAAATGTTCCTATATATTTTGAATCTAACCACTAATTTTCAATATTGGACTCAGCAAAAATTGTAACATTTAGGAAAAAGCTTTTATTAGATACATTTATCTTATTACAATTGTAAGAACAAAAAATTAAAATTAATTTGAAATTTTTCTTAAAAATAGCTTTTACTAAAAGTAAAAACAAATTATTGCACTAATTAAACCATTTTTTATTCTGTCTCCAACAATTATCAATGATAATTATTAGAAAAATTAGAAACACGTATAGTAAATGTAATATATAAAACATTGTGAAAAGTAGTTAGATTAGATTTTAGCATTTGAATCTTTACGCAAAGCTTTATGCAAATCTTTTTCGTTCTTCAAAAATTTAACATCTTTGTTACTGAATTTGAACGAATAAAAAAAAAGAAAAGAAAAGAAAAATAAAGATTTCTACTTTTTTTTTTTTTTTTACAAAGCGGTGCTTTCTTGCAGTCTCGCAATTGCGCAATTACGCAATTATTACGATCGGATACTGATCTTTTGCGGAAGAACTGGAGTTCCGTTACAATGCAACGAACTGTAGCCACGACGAGTAACTGTAAAGGACTCCAACGTGCTAACCTGTTGCAACAGTCAGCAAGGATGCAAAGAAGAAATACACATCGATCGCAATGAAATATTTTACAAACCTCCTTATTCTCTTTTATGACATTATATATAAATTAAGTCTAATTGTCTCGGTCAGCTCGGGCGATTTATGACACGTTCTGATAATAGCTACAGGTGAGGTAGGTTTGAAAAGATTTCATTCGATCGATTCGTTACCATACACTTTCGACGTAGGCTCTGATCGATAAAGCTAAAAATATCAAACGATAGCGTATGTATGCGTGGACGATCGGATGATATCGGGATCGTCAGTGTCATGCAGTGTCAGGGGGACACTCCATTATGGAATAACAGGAAATCGGATACCGGGCGGCGGAGAACTGGTATCGTCGTAGCTGGGACCTTAGTTTGGTAATTGCGACACCCTCGTTGCGATAGTGCCGACGACAGGTGATCGCGCATATCATGTATCTTTATACATCCGTTATTCACGGCATAACACTCTTCTCTACATCATTCGCGATAAAACGTCGCGTCGGACATTCGAACGTTAACGATAAACATACAGTAGTCGATATCGACTTGCAAAGTCCTTGAGAGCAGGAAACGATTTAACGGCGCAACTGTTCCATCTTTATAGCCGGATCACTGGTTAATGATTAAAATAATACGATCGTTATCGTTGATCAGGATATAATTAGTTGATTTAATCGGTTTTCGGTAATCGAAGTCAGTTATCGTTTATTTTATTACGTTAGTTAAGAATTCAGTGATGCGTATTTTTACGTTGATCGCATTTATTAATTGCTCGTGAATGTTATCCAAGGACAATGGTCCGTCGTGAAACGAAAACACGTTACGTAAGTGACATCGCATTTCGAAGCTGCTTTGAGAGATCACAGCGCAATTTCATCGTTCTTTAGGTCTGTTTGACTAAAGAACTCCTCGTAATATATTACAAATTTAATACATTCTATAAAAAAATAGCGATGTAAATTTAACACTATGAATTTTAAATCAACACACCTTCATAGTGTTTATATAAACATTGGAGATTTCAATTGGAGATTTATTGATGTTAATATTAAATGAGAATTATGTAGACATGAGTGTATACTTTTTTTTAGAATGTATACTTTATCTAATAAAAAATAAACAATAATTGAGATATTGAAATCGCACATTTTTTTTATGCGTAAAAAGATAGAAAATTATTAAAGAGTAGACTTATGTACAGATTAAAAATCACAGACTACCTCCGAGCGAAGCCAGTACCTATCGAGCAGCGGTAGGAACTGGCTAAGTGCATCGAAGCATCGACGCTATTTCTGCACACACACATATACGTACGTAGACAAGTGTCAACGGCCTCGTCACTATTCAGCGCAAGTGCGCTTCGCTGGTCAGGCATGGCGTGGACGTCGAGTAGCGACGAAAGAGTATCAGAGGTCGATGTTACAACGCCCAACTTCCTTCTCGTTCATATACGAAGTCAATAAATGGGGATTATGTAAATTTGAGGAAAGTCACCGGTAAATGTAACTCCTCGGAAATTTAAATTGTTAAATGACCTTTCTTCATAAGACATGTCGATTCGTCATTCGATGTTATAATCTTAAAGTAATGAAAAGTTTTTACGATATAAGGTATGTACGAGAAGAGAATGGACTGACTGTACTGAAATGGCGGTGAATGAACTGTCAATTCGTTTTCGAACGACAGACCGTATAATTATGTATGTTCGTTGCGGTTCAATCGACAAATGGGTCCCGACAGTATCACGTGATTCCTTCAAATTATGTCACAGTCAATCTCCGCACTCCTGCGTTTATTGAACCATATAATATATTCGAACGTATATAGCGAAACAAATTTACACGTGAGATTATTAGAATAAGAGTGAAATATAGTTGTTTTTACAATTTAAAATTTTTTTTTTATCTTACTTAGCTTTCGATACGAGCTATGGTAAGTGAGAGGTGAGAGACTTAAAAGTGATAGCACTTTTTATTAATATATATTTAATAAATATTTTTATTTGTCTTTGAAACTTTTGTTATAAAAAATTGATATTCAATTATGATACGAATTTAGATCGATGAGAATGAATCTATAATTAAATAAGAGAAATCCTTTTCTCGGTCTTAATGTTTAAATGTTTCTGTGTGAATTTATACACATATCTGATTCTGTAAATCGCGCGCCGATTTTTTCATTCACGAAATGTAATCGTGAACAAAACCAAAATAGTAATGTCATTTATTAAATTGACAAGCAATTTAAAATAAAAATTGATATGTCGCTTTTTTATTACATATTTAGTTTAAAAGAAAGTTTCAGAAGCAAATTCTTAAATTTATTTGATTAATTTCTTATAGATATCTTTCTAACGTTTCTATTAATATTTATCGTGATGCTTCGGATAGAAACATCAAAGCTGTTATTTATTATCACGATAAAATTTGATCGATTTTATGACATATACGCCTTTCATTAATCGTCGATCATTAAGATTCTCTTTATATGTAACTTGAAAAGTATTAAGAGAAACTGATAGTGTGCCTCATAGATGGTTCTTTCAAAGTAGACGATACAATCTATGAAAAGTAAATGTGAAAGGAAAATAAGAAAGCAGATGGACAAGGAAGTGAAAGCGTACGAAGTTCATGTTTTGTTAGAAAAATCGTTCATTAGATTTTCATATGTTCTTTATGTTATTATGAACGTATTAATTAGAACAGAATTGGCATTATTTTCGCAAACACTGTTAGATTTACTGTTAGAAAATATTTTTATATATGCAAATTATCAACCAGCAATTCTAGACTGAAAATTTTCGATCGATAATTTTCTTACATAAAATATATTTGTGATTTACAAAATATTTTATTACTCTCGTGGCGTAATTAACCCTTGTACGCCAAATGTATTCTCCATTGATGCTTGTTTGATGGTTAACTATAGCAAGAGCCCAAGAGGTCAATGATTCCGCGGTCCTGTGAAGGCGGTGTAATCATCGAGCAAACTAGCACCAGTTGAAGCGGGCGCAAATGTGACCTAATACACGCGGGGGCAGTCACCTCTACCCGTTGTTATACCGCTGCAATCGCGAGGGATTCTATTTGTATCTCGTTACTTCCGAGTGGCTACAAGTTTGTCGGTACTTTTCTTTGGAGCAACAAAAGACGAGCAATAAAAATTTATGAAGTGAGTACTTGACCAAATTTATAAATTATAATTAATGTAAATTAATTATAAATAACATTCGAGTTTGAATAGTAATAATAATTAACGGTATATGTAAATAGAAAAATAATTATTCATGATTATTTCACTCTTATGTAATTTTCAAACAGTCTCAAATGCTTTCATGGAAGTTTAGATGAAATAAAATAAATTAAAATTAATATTTTCTGTGCATTATCATAATGTCGCGTTATGATGATTATTTTATAGATTTTGAGGTAACAATGATAAAATTTAATTGAGTATTACTTGTTTCTTCTTTAACTTTGATCCATGTTTCTATTCTTTAGTGTATAAAATCCTTAATTAAACAAGCATGTGAGAACGTGCAATTCTTCGGTCAATGACCTACAGCTTGTGGTTGTGATTCAAAGCAAGGAATAATGAGATAAATTAAGAATTGACAGACAATTTTTTCCAAGATAACAGGCATGGAATTTGAAAAGATAAATATTTTTATTTAAAAAATCAAATATTCTAGAAAAATTTTATTCGCTTAATGAGCCATATATATAATATAACACACGTAACTCTGTATGTTTGAAATCTCTTCCTTCGAAGACGTCAAAGCAGTTAATAACATTAAATCTATGAGATCTATACATGTTGATTAAAAAACACTAATTAATTTCAAGAAACCAAAATAACTTGCATAAAAAGAGTAAATATTAAGTTTATTTTAGTAAAAATAATTTAAATTTAGATGTAAAATAAAGAAAATTGAAGTGCATTGAATTGACAATTTTTATGTAAAATGGCGATTGCTACAATAACAGATACAAGAATTAAGAATTAATGGATAAATTCAAATACAATAATATATTTTTTATTTTAATATTACTTCATAGAGAAAAGTGAATTACTTTTACTCATCATCAAGAATCTTATGCAAAAAAAAATCACTGCATAATGGGTCTAATAAATCCACCAACAGTTTCGAAAGATTAAATATCTTACAAATAGTTCATAAAAAGTATTCAAATATTCAAGATGTGCAGTATGACTGTTATTGCGCGTATAGAAACGAGCTCGTTCCGAGATCGATATCGCGCAACGAAACCGATGATCATCTCCCACCAGATAAACTCTCTCTCCTTGCAATGTTTCCGTGGTTTACGTATATCAGTCGTCGGTTCAACGACCGACACGGTTTCGCTCGCGTTCGCGCCGCGCCACATACGTATACGTACGTACGTAGATTTACTCGACCGACGAAACGTAAAGACCCCGGGACTGGCGAGCGTTTCGGGAAGATGACGAAAATATACCAGTTAAGGAGCACGGTCAATGACCAGCTCGGTTCTTCCCGCGCCATGTCGCCGATACGGCGTAATCCGATGACGAGTTTCCGGGCACCGAAAGCCGTCAATTAAATGTAACGCGAAATCATCCCCCCCTCTCTCTCTCTCTCTCTCTCTCTCTCTCTCTCATATTTATCATGAAATAATAAATGAAATATCATGGAGATACTTGTTTAATGTTTTATGACAGAAATTAATTAATGTTTTATAATCATATTTATCTCGTATTTTTCTTTCTTAGAACTCTTCAAATACTAATATAAGAATGCAGATTGTAAAAAGAAATGTAGATAATAAAAATGATGAATTATGTCATAATGTACACACGATAAAAATGTTGCGTGTAAAATGGCTCAAAGAAGAGTAAATATTTCATAAAAAGCACACAGTCTCATTTTATTGCATATAATCATCTTTCACTTTATGTGATTTATTTAACTATCGCTTATATATGTAGACTCGTCAAAGTTTATATTTTTTAATACTATTGACCTCGAAGGGAATAACGACAATACGTGATGAAATCATTTAGGAGAGCGGTCATTCACCTTAACGTTCTTGAACTTTCAGGGTCGCTTAACGCGAAGCTCTCGATGTGAGTCTTATCGTTTTAACAAAACGTCGGCTCGAATTACGCCTAGCTCTTTATCGCATCACCACGACTATTTCTATCAAGGACTGTGCTTACGTCGTACGTTGGCCGACACATTGGTGTATGGCTGAGCCACCTAAATAAACGAGATTTAGGGCCAGTTTCATTAAGGTTGATTAGCGTTGACCGTAATTAACTGAATTTTCTTCTCGTGCATGCTACGGTCAAAGTGAATCTAAAAAAAATATACGAAATCACTAATTAGGGTTAATAATAAAGGCCATTGGTGCAATTGACTTTTAGTCTCGTATGAATTGATATTCGCTCTTCGTACAGTCTGAACAAAAATTTGATATCGTCTTTGCATAACAAAAATTATAAAAGAAGATACATGCTTATATACATGAATTATATATTTTATTCATATATAATATAAATGAAATTTGTTAATGTAAGTTGTTATATATCAACGGATGGTTCCGTTGAGAATCAAAATGTTTGGAAGATTTTTGTAATTTGTAACAATATATTCTTTTGCATCGACAACGTGCTTAGCTCATTTAGCCCATACGAATTTATTATTGAATTTATCAGTTCGCTCGAATCTTTAAAGTTTTTTAATTTTATTTTTAAATGAAATTTGTTAAATTATTGTGAATTTAGCTAATAATATTAATTTACAAAAGGGTTCACAACTGAATGGTGATTCTTATATATTTTTATATAAAAGAATATAAAGTTAAAAAAATTTCATCGCCCATAGTTTTCGAAATTACAAACTTTATTTTTTAAAAAATTCTGCAAATTACAACTTTACAACTTTTTTCTTTTATAAGAGTAAAATACACAATCAAACATGAGAAAAATATTTGACTATAATTAGTCAATTCTTACAACTACAACCACTTACAACTACGCTTACGCAATTGTAAAATGGGCTTAAGAATCATTATGGGGTTTTAAGAACCGGTAATTTTGTAAATTACTATGATTTTTTTACATTAATTATTGCCAAGGAAGTGTTATTATTTTAATATATCATTTAAAATTAAATTTAATATATCACTTAAAATTGTACAAACAGAACAAAAAGAACTTATGTATTACATATAGCTGTACATGTTTTACATATTAAAAATTTGCGTTATTACATCAGAAATTTAAAGCGGAGTTTCTAAAAATTGATGAATGATAGAATTTTCTAAAGAACATAGCCTTTTTCAGTGTAAAAGATCCTACAAGAAACATTTGTTACTTGACAAATAAAATTGGATGTTCAGTGTAATCTGAGAAATAATTAATTACTTTCGAATTCGCGAACGTTATATGGATTCCACGAGGTAGCTGGAACTGGAGCAATGACCTTCGAATTTGGTTCGGTCGACAAGGTTCGTGAACCCTGGAAGGAGTTGGCAGGCCTCGGGAAAGATGGTACAGTTATACCCTCCTCCTCCATCTGCTCTTTCCACGTTCCTCTTTCTCCATCTTCTTCTTCCTCCTTCTCCAACCACTTCTTCCTCCTCTCTAACAATAAACGCGCGCTCGCGTTCACTCCCGCGCTCTTGCCTGACCGAAAGGAAATACCGTATGGTCACCTCGGCCTCGTCACCGCGAAGACAAGAGAAAATCCCGCGGCGTTCGTCGACCCTGAAGTCAGATATGTTTCGAATCGAAAGGATGACTGCGGATAACAGTAATCTTTAAGCTGCGGAAAGCAGATTAAAAAAAAAGTATTATGTTTCAATCCTCTTTTTTAAATCGAAATTTCATCACTTTTATCATTTCTCGCGACTTGTAAACCTTTCAATATTGGATATATGTCGATAACTGAATATCGCATACAATTTAAAATTTACTTAAAATTTAAATGGTTTATTAATTCAGAAATAGTCTAGGGTTTTTAAATGTTTTTTTTTTCTGTTTTTATCCTCATGAGATAACTCAGATAAACGCTGCGGCATTTCTTAGCTTTTAATTGAGTAAACGAATAACATGCATACACAAAAGCAAGACTCGTGGAGGTCATCGAACCTCGAAAACGTATGAAATATTATCACACGTAATAGAGCATAAATTTTTACGGATCTTTTATGAAACGTGGGACTTCCCTAAAAAAAATACGCGATTTGAGGTAAGTGGGTCATTGATTCGGATTAGTCAGAGCTACTTCAGAGCTGATATCGACGAGTTTTAACGGGACTGTGAGTAATCGACTTGTGTCACAAAAATATAACATTGAAATGAATCTCAGGGTAAAAGAAATGGAATATTATCTTAAAAAATGATTTATATTTGATTAAACTCGTTCATTATTTTTTCATTTACTTATTTATGTCACTAATATTGATTATTATTATATTTCATAAAATTATAGTAAAGTTAAGCTTAACTTGTATTTCTAATAAAACATATATGTAAAAATCGACAGAGGTTAGTGACCGTTGCAGAAGGGAAAAGAGAGTCATTATGATAAATTCATTCTACGGTTAATTACGCTTTATCAATGTTGTTTTCCTTGCTCGATTGAAATTTCATCCGACTGCCACGCGAAATCATTAACACAGATAATGGATACTTGATATAATTAAAGAGGCTGAGTGTCTTATTACTAAAACTTGTTTTCTTTAACACTGGAGGAAAATAATTAGCATAATGCTGTGTATCATTCATATCATTATTAAGTTTAAAGAGTATAAAAAGATTTTTCTTTTTAGAGAGAATATTTTGTTAATACGTTTTGCATTTACAAAATTGATTTATAAACTCTAGTTAGTTCCATGGCATTGCGGGATACGTGGTATTGGAAAAAGTGGCTCACTTGCGAGAGTGAAAGCACTGGAAAAGTGAAAACGCATTCGTTGCATTCATTAAATGCGCGCCTGCACAGCATATTGCAATTAAATTGTCGTTTCAAGAGCTCATATTCGAAAGTATAACTGAGCGACTCTTGCACGCGAGGTATATCGCAATATGAAATGTCATACATAACAGTTTAAACAGACTTGACATAATACTATTTTACTTATATTTTTAAATCTTTCCTTACTCCGTGTTTTTCATTTATATCTGTTCCATTAATCGATGATCATGCAGAAAGAATACTAAGAGAAAAAATGATTGCAATTGTCACAATTTAACTATAAATAGTCATTTTTTGGGACATAAATATAAATGTTTTAATCATATAATATAATCAATTGTGCTATTAACAATAATTATACACACTGAAAATCTTTTATCTTAGTTTTTCTTAATATATTTTTTAGTTATTATTGCCACAACACATAGTAAATAAGAAAGCTAAGAAATATAATTGCATTTACTGAATAAAAATGTTTATTTTATTTGTGTGTGTGTGTGTGTGTGTGTGTGTGTGTGTGTGTGTGTCATTTATATCTTAATATTTTATTGTATTAATATTTTAAATTATATTCATCATTGTTTATAGTATAAATTTTTTATTTTGAGAGAACATATATAGTAATTATTATCTACTAATATTATAGCCATAATAATCATAAATGGAGCTCATGGTTGTTACGGCTATAATATTGTTATTAGGAGCTTCTAACTATAAATATTTTACAATTATATTCACAAATTTGTTTCTCTCATTGCATGTAAGTCATTTGGAAATGCAGCAAGTTATTCTGATCTTCGAGAGTGATGGTTTTACTTTTGTATATGTATCCCTTTTGATATATTGTGACGTGAATGTGACTTCCGTGTTTTTCCCTTAATATTTGTTCACATCTTTTTCTTAATATAAGAATCATACACACACACACACACACACACACACAAAGTTCAAAACTTCTTTTTCTTCTCCAAAGCTCGATCATGAATAATAAATTCCACGAGTCCATGGATAATGCGAACCATAGATCATTCATTATTGAATCTGTGGGATTACATAGGTGAGTAAGATAAATCTTTTGCGAACATGTTTTGATGTCATGAATTATATTTTGGTCATTTTTATGTTACGCCAAAGATTGTTGAAGGGATGATAAATTTTCTTAAGTACTTATGTACTTGAGAAAAGCGCAATTTTTTTTCTTGTACTTTGACGCTAAAGAAATGGGTTTTTTTTTCAATGTACAATTGGAATCTTTGCTGCTTGACATATCTATTATAATTTTTTTGTAACCCTGATTCCGATATCTTGTTTCTATTAACCTCAACATTCTATCTGATTGGCCTAGATAAGATATGGATTACATCATACCCTTGTGGCCATTTTTTTTGTATAACCATCCTTGTGCATAATTATTGTTGTCACGTCAGCCTTATTATTCAAATTTAAATTACATCTCAAGAACTTATATAAATATATTAATAATTATAATATATGTTTTTTTAATTCTTTAATAAAATAAAGTTTCCATAAGATTGAGATAGAATTTGTTATATTTTTTTTCGGATATCGAATATCTTTGCAGTTAATATTTCAATAGTGTGTGATAATGATAATATGATGCTTTATTTACATTTTATTTGTTACAAATAATAAATGTGGGATGTTACAAGTATATGTTTTATTTCTGCATTGCAGTATGAAACAACAATGTTTGTACTAATACTATCCGCATTGCAAAAACTTAAGATTGCCCAAGAGACAGTGAAAAGTGAGAGGAGAGAAACTCGCTTGTCGCTTGACATTGCTCGTAGCTGATAATGAGTGTTTGCTCATTGTTGGCTCAAGGCTTTAACTCTCCCTCGAACTGGTCAATCTTTATGTGCATTGTCAGGCACAAATATTAATCCACGTCTTGTATGATGGCCAAGGATGGTAGGTCAAGGTGTAACTACTCATTCTCTTCATTGCTTCCTATATGAAAGCTTGATGCTTTCTCCTTTCATCCTACATTATATACTTCTATTCTAAAATTAATGAAAGATGACAAAAGATGACATTATTTATTTCCCAAAATTGGTTAAGAGTTTTGAAGTTCACGAAATTATATTTCAAGTATATAAATTGAAGAGAATCGTTCCCTGAGAGAGAATTTTCTCTTAGAATTTATCCTAAAAATCATAATAATTGTAAAATAGCATCGTATTTTGAAGAATTATGTGATTCTCTTTCTGATTTGTTAATATTTTTATAATAAAATATAAAATGTTAATTTAATTAATTTTACTAAAAGGTATAATAAAATTTTAATAATTTAAAAATTTTAAATATATTGAACAGTTTATAATTCTTTATTGTTTTAAATAGAACAGATGTGCCAAGTAATGATAAAGAAATAAAATATTATATTTTATCTAAATTTTACAATACAATGATATTTTCAACTTGATTTATTGTTCGTCACTCACAATTTTATCATACACTCATAATTTTACCGTGATAATTGATCGATGTTTGATATTTT